TTAAAGCATCTATTTTTATAGCTGCCATCCAAAGAGAACGACGTTTCTTGGAAAATTAATTTTGTTCTGTTAAGAAGCGGTGATTTGTGGTCGTAGGGACACAATAAAAATATAAATTGTCTTTATTTGCTCGACTTCCGACACGTAATCGGCATGTAACAAAACGTCTTCAAATATTATGTTTCTCGCAGAATTTATATCCTGGCTATCAAAATTTACTATAAACAGCTAACTACTGAGCCACAATATGAACTGAAAAACACTATAAAATGTATTAAATATAACTTAGCTCTGATTTGACTACCACAAGGACTAATGTAAATACAGCCATGTGTGCCCCCAGCGGCCATATTGGATCGATTTTGACAGGTCGTTGGAATCAGGGGGGTGACAGTGAAATGGGAAAATTGGAAACAGTCATTAGTGTCATTCCTGTCATTCTCCTCACGACAAGTATGGCCGCCTAGACAAGGACAGCATTGTTTTTGTCTAACTATTGTCTAACTTCACAGTTTAGAATGTTTAGAATTGACAGATTTCAGTTTCAGAGACAACTTCAGATTTGTTCTAGAACAAATTCGAAAATATTCGACGCCATTTTAATTCATTCCGTTTAGTTTCGTTTTGGAAGTTCAGTTTAATATTTCGGCTGAAATTTATAAATATAAAGGTAATAAAGTATATAAAATATGTATTACATGAAGAATCCTTGAGAAAATGACGTTTATGCAGTATGTATGTCCCATGTATATGAAAAATAGGTAGTAAATAAACACTGTTTTTACATTTTTAGATGCAAGAAAATGGTGTTATAATCTCTTTGATCGGCGATTTTTTTGAAAATGGAAACAATTTACAGCAAGGTAAGATCATTTTTTAACTATAGCCAACATTAGTTATCTCCAGTATGTGTGATTTATTGTCAATAATGCAATAAATCGGACTGATAATCTGATTTCATGTTATCCGACTAAAAGTCTCTTTTTGCAATCTTTTGATTTATAAGCCAGGTTCTTTGGGAATAATGGACGCTTTTTTTAAACAGTATATTTATATTTTATACCTATTGATATTTTTACATTGTTAATTTTAGTATAAAAAAATTGTTTTTCTGTTTTCAGGTTTTTGTATAAGGCTCCCGTTTTCATATTCCTGTGCCCGTTTTCTGTCCTTGAAGTTTGCGAATGCGTGTGTTTATTTACAAAATTACTATGAAGTGATCATCAACTTAACTAATTTACGTTAAAAGTGCATATAATTAACTAATTGGTATTGAAACAATACAATCGTCTGCTATTTTATATTTATTTAGTCACGTTGTTCCATATTTCAAATAAATATAATGTAAATAAATTATTTTTTGGTTTTTATTTATGAAAAGAAAAAATACAAAATACATTTGAACTGAAAGAGGGCCCGCCATTGAATAACCGGAAACGGAAATGAAAATTAAGCCATCATGTCCTTATCATGTCAACCTGTCAATTGGAAAGTTAGTTCTCCAGACGACAACGAAGGCTTTCGGTGGCGTATCGTGTTTCCACGATTTAACACAGAGTTGACACTTCTTTCTAGTTAATTATTTTATGGTTGGAATGCCAAACCAAACGCCGCTCCCGCCGCGCCGGCGCCGCACATAGGGGTATTTGGTCTATAAACCTGGCCAAAAGTGAAATATTTTTATTTTCATTTTTTATCTTAACTGAATACAAATCTATAAATACTAAATGTAAGCGCGTTTATTAGCTTTTTTTAAGTCGTAAGTTGACTATCAAATAAATAATATATTTCAATTATAAGTATGAATTATCTTGAGTGTATTCTGAATATTTCTAAGATTACAAAATAGTGGAATTGTTTGTAGTGCTTTTTTTGCAAATTGTTTATAATAACTGTCATGATGGATACAGAGCCAGCTGGCAAGTCCTGTTTTATGCCAAATTTTTATTTTGAAACGTTTCCTTCTATTCTATTTCTTTATAATGTTTTTTATTTAAAAAATCAGAGGCATTTTTATAAGGTGTAAGACTATTCGGCAATATTCCGCATGCAAATTAGTATCCGTTCAATGCTTAAAGTCTCCAGCTTTGGAATATGTACAAAAATCTTGCCAATATTTGCCACTACCAAAAAAAACATTGATTTAAATAGATTCTTAAAGGAAATAGTCTTTACCCTAAAACACCCATCCTCGCTCAAATATCGTCTATAATATACAAATTACTTTCTTGTTCTAGCATCCTCATCCAATTGCTTGGTTTTGCACAGAATGGCCCTATTTGATCGGTGAAAAGGGTTTCAGAGTAGAGGAAAAAATATTGTGTAGGAAAAACAAAATGGGGTTCCATATTAGCACCCTCTCCACTAATAATTAATATTACTAGCAAAAAAGCAAAAAAATCATAAAACATAATTTTGGCCAACTTTTAGTTCTTAATACGCTCTGTGCGCCGTCGGCGAGTACAAAAGCAGAAATAAATAAATTTTCGTTCCGGTAAAAGCGAGAAAGCAGATGAACGCTGGTTGACGGCGCCTACCTGCTTTCACTGTGAATTAGCCGATTTGATAACACGCTTTAATTTTTCAAGGTTATAAGCGCGAGGCGGCGCGGCGCGGCGCTACTATGTACCCATATACAGGGTGTCCCAGAAATACGTGCAAGTATTTTAACTTAACTGGTAGTATAGTTCAACCCCAGAAACATGCCTATGAGGTTTTTTCTAAATAATTTTTTTTGAAAATTCCGAATTTTTTGAATTTTTTGGAATTTTTTTAGTTTTTATTTAAAAAAAATAATTTCTTGATAATATGGCAACATAGGTAGTAGATTAAAGTTACAAGAAAGACAATCCAGAAAAGATCCAGTGAAAGATCCAGTGACTCAAAATTTTAGCAAAAAATCATTTTTTTTGGAAATTTTCAAAGTAAATAACTCCGTTATTTTGGACTTATTTGAAAAACGATAAAGAGAAAATATGTTTTTTTATCGAGATCTATCACCCTTTAAAATACTTGCACTTATTTCTGGGATACCCTGTTTAAACAATACACGTGATGCGTATAAGCAAAGTTGCGAACGATGTCAAGAATAGGTGCCCAGATTGGCGCTGACTACCAGTAAGCGGCAAACCTGCTTGCACTGTGTTCGCACACTACCCCACAAAACACATACACAAGGTTTGAACTACCCTAAGAATTGCATATTGCATCATAACCACAGATCATAACTTTCATTATAACCACAAAAGCACAACCTTTCCTCACCACCACCTCTACACAAGACTATTCAACCTTTTCCAATATGGCGGAGATGGAAGTGCTTTATTTGGCGCGTATTTTAAACCCTGCTTTATTTCCAAATAGACATTTTTCACACAAATGTCGGGTTAGATTACGTAATATTTCACTAATTTTTTAATATACAGGGAGTCTAAAGTTCTCCACTGAATTGGTTGGAATTGGTAAAGATGTGGATCCGGTGGTTGACCTTGAAACGAGTTTTTGCTGCATATAGTCACAGATATTACGATGGATACTATGCATGCGCACATCGTCAATGTTGCCAGATTGCAGGTTATTTTGGAATTATTTTCAGTAGAAAACAAATAATGTTTTTTTCAGTGCTGTCAATTGTATCTATTATTTATGTTATTATTTAGATATTTTGCATAACACGTGAATGATTATTATGTATTTTTATAGCCAATAAAATTAAATAGAAATAAAACTCTAGATTGCTATAATTAATCTAATTATTCTAGATTATTATGTTATTACTTTGTTAAAAATTCGTGAAATTAAAAGGGGTGTGTACAAGTTTCTTCTTTTTTTGAAGTTTTAAATGCTGTAACTCCATATCATGTTCATAATAGGTTTTATAACATTCTACTATACGTAAGCCTTAAAAAGGCCTTTCAGCTTTCGTAACTATAACTGTAGAATCAGCAATATTAAATTGAGGTACCTTGTTTAATTCTGCTTATACATATATTGCATTAATTTTTCTGCTACCTTAAGATTTTTCTATTCTTACACCTAATTTATGTGATTTTCTTAGCATATATGATTTATAAATAATATTTTTCGTAATGGAAGGATATGCAAGTATTAAGATATCTTAACATTTATTCTCCACACCACAAAGCATAATGTGCGTTGTATTAAGACATAAAAAAATTATTAGAAATATCATAATATAAATCACAAACTAACTTAAGTTTTGCTTAAAGTGTATAAATTTAATGAGATCAAAAATAAACCTTCACCATATTATCAAGATAATAAATAATAATTTTAGTTTTGGTATTACAGGAAACAAGAAATTAAGTAAATTAAGAAAAGAATATATCAAAGTACAGGATATTAAATACTGTAATGTATTCTACGGCATAATCCATATCCCTTCTAAAGAGAAAAAGTGAAAACATAAAGCTTATTTTAATCCTATCAGCATTTTTCGATAAAATATGTGCCTCGGCAATTGCTATCAACTCACTAACCACTAACTTGATATTTTTAAGAAATTGTGATACAAACACACTACAATCAAACTAGGTCAACTGTTACCTCTATCTCATCGACTTGTGCTATAAAACTCGTCATGCGGTACTTCAATACATATAATTGATCGACGAGCGGGCCGAGGTTGCCATATTTCAACCATAAAGCTCTTGCCGCGAGTAATAAACAAATTAACAACCTGTATAAATAAATGGTATTATTATTACAATATTATATTACTTACAACTCTGATTACAATTATAATAACTTAACTTCACAATCTCCATTATCCTTCTTACCTTAAGTTTTGATATGGTTTTGATCAAGATAAATCTGAAATTATAAAATGAATTATAGAATTTGTATTATTACTGATTAACACTCAAAAAATCATTTGTTTTCTACTGTAAATAATTCGAAAATAAACTGCCATTTGGCAACATCGACGATGTGCGCTTGCGAAGTATCGATGATCAAATGCAGCAAATACAGGCTTAAGGTCAGTCACCGGATACACACCTTTTTTGTTTTGTTGATTTTTTCGACTATCGTGTGAATAGTTTTGCTGGTTTTGGTTTGGTATAGTGAGTAGTGAGTCAATATGTTAGCAGATAGTAAAGAGTCCGGTAAATCACCAAGTAGTGAGAGCACTCTAAAAAAGTCAGATTTCGTTACTAGAGATCCTATTTCCATTTTTAGTAGGATAAAAAATGCAAGTGATGAAGAGGAAAAAAAGAAGCTTAATCAACTTTTAGAGACACTAAGGAAGAAATCGCCTGAGGGCTTTAAGATAGGAGCTGCTGTAGGTGAAGGGGATTGTTTCTTTGATTCCATAGCTCAAGGATTGAACGAGCTAAAAGATAAAGGTCTGATTACAGGTAGTAAAGGATTTAGTGTAAAGTCTTTGCGGGAAAATTGTAAGCAATATGCACAACAAGTTAATCAATCAAAAAAAGGTTCATGGTTGGGTAGGGCTTTAAAAGGAGAAGGTGAAAAACTTTGTGAATATATTCTGCGTATTGGATTTACTGCAGAAGACATAGAAAATACAAGCTCTGGTTCAGAAATAGAAATTCTAAAGTTGGAAAACGCTATATGGGGAAGACCGGAAGTTGAAGGGAAAATGATATGTGATAAGTATGAGGTGAAAGTTAAGATTATAAAATTGAGAGATAAAGAGATAGATGGATTACATGTTACTAAAGGCAAGGTAGGTACAGGTAATAATATTATTTACATAGTGAATTACAGGAACCATTTTGTACCACTTCTTAGTAATATTGAAAAAGATATAAAGAGAAGCATAAAAGTTTATAGAGTCGAAGCTTACGGTAATGTGGTAGGTTCAGATTCAAACAATATTTCTCAATCTTACATTTCTACACCATTACAAGGTATTGAAAACCCTACATACAAACAAAGTGGTTGCCCAAGAAGTCCAGGTAAGGAAAATCATAAAACGGGTAGAAAACGTGGGCGTTCTGTTACAGATAAAGATAATAAAGCACCAAAAAGGGCGCGCATGGATGTAAATGTTGCTAGTAATGAAGAGTTAGAATCGCCTAGTGATTTACAGGATAACCCTGAACAGGACGAACTGCATAATGCTTTTCAGACTAAGCGACACATTCCTCATCATTTGATTGAACTTATGTATCAATTAGACTTATCAGTGCTGTGCTTACTTAGAAAGTCTACATATGAACATAAATATCCTTCATTGTCATTAGCGTTTGGAGATTCTGAAATTGACAAATTTAGTAATATCGTTCTCCGCTCTAAGGGGAAGTCTATTCATATACAAGTTGAAAATGTGGAAAATTATATAGATAATAATATCAGTTATGCTAGGTTATTTAATAAAGAAAGACGAAGTTCTTCTGTTAATAGTTACTTTGATAGTTTTGTTAAACATCTAATCTCTAAATCAGATCTCTATATCAGTTTATATAATGTGAAATATCTTATTGTCTATACTAATTCAGGCTTGGATCTTACAGAAGAAAAGAAATTAAAACAAGGACGATCCAAAAACTTTTATCCTTTTAAGTTTTATAGCATAAATATAGAGGAATACGACATTCTAAAAAACTTTTTATTTACAAGTAATAACATACAAGGGCATGGTTTTTATCAGTTTTCACAAGATAAAACAACAAGAGAGGAACTCTTAAAGCGATTAAAATTCTCGCCTGCCGTGCAGAAAGTAATAAAAAAAAGAGAGCTTTCTCAGGGGTTTGAAAAAGAAATAAAAGAAGCATTTTTAGATAAATTAGTATTTGCAGTTAATCAGCCTAATAGAGAAGAGCTGAACAGCAGTATTAAAAGTGAAATGAAAAAAAATAGTGAAGTTCAAGATAATTATAATTATATAATATTACAAGAAAGAATATTAAGTAATTTAGAAGAGCATAAAAAACTTGGAAACTATATATCTGGAATTATATATGAATTTAATTTATTAAAGCTTTTTTTGCATGACATGTTCTTGCATAAAAATATGATTTCCATAAATTTTGAAGGAAAAAGCCGTGACACATCTAATAATATTACTATCAATTATAAAGGTAGAGCTACTTACTTAGAGGCTCATAACGCAGATAGTAATATTGATTATAGTCAGTTATTTCCCTCCAGACAACAGAATAATACGTTTTCTATTGATAAGCTTTTTACTCTTTTTGTTGAAAAATTAGAAGAAAGTATAGAATATTTTATTATCTATACTAATGCAGATCTAGATCTTACGGAAGAAAAGGAATTAAAAAAGGGTCAATCTAAAGATTTTTATCCTTTGAAATTTGATATTATGGATATTCGAAAGAAGAAGTATAAAATTTTAAGAGATTGTTCATGTATAGGTGGGAATGGTCTTTATCAATTTTCGCAAGAGGAAACAACAAGAAAAAAGCTTTTAAGTCTATTAAAGCTTCCACCTTCTTTACAGAAAGAAAGAGAAGGAGGACTGTCTGATGAAAATGAAAAAGAAACAAAAGAGAAATTTTTAGATAAATTAGTATTTGTGGTCAACCAGCCTAATAGGGAAAAGTTGAATAGTGTTATTAGAGGTAAAATAAATAATCAGTCCAATATTCCATATAATTGCGAAAAGTTACATGAAATAGCATTACGTTGGTTAGAATCTCATGAACTTGGTCCTGTCACAAAAGGAATAATAGAAAAGATTTTAGAAGATATCAACCATAATAGATTTAGTTATCAGGCGATTCAAAATAAAGACGTTAATGAGGAATTTAAATTTGCTAAAAGTGTGGTTGGCAGAGAAGGAACGGCTGTGTTTTATCAGTTCTTAGGTTTTTTAGTTAAAGGAGAAGGAAAAAAATGTCTAGAAGTTTTGAAAAGAAAAGGAATAAATCTATCTACAGTATCCAGTATTTTGCATGGAGCAGGAGATAGTGCTGTAAAAGCTTTTAAAGACTTATATGACTTTTGGTTTGATGGAAAAGGAAATAAAACCCAATACTTGAAAACTCTGGAAGAAAAAGGAATAAATCTATCTAATATATCAAGCATTTTGCATGGAGCAAGAGCTAAAGCTGCAAAAGCTTTTAAAGACTTATATGACCTTTGGTTTAATCATAATGGAAGAAAAACAAAATATTTAATAAAACTAGAAGAAAATGGAGTAGACCTAGTTCGTGTGTCCAGTATTTTAAGTGGAGCAGGAACTAGTGCTTTTAAGGCTTTTCAAGATTTATATAACCTTTGGTTTGATAAAAAAGGAAATAGAACACAATATTTAAAAACTCTAGACAAAGAAGGAATAAATCTATCTAATATATCCAGTATTCTAGGTGGAGCAGGAACTAATGCTCCTAAAGCTTTTAAAGATTTATATGACCTTTGGTTTAATGAGCAAGGAAATAAAAAACAACATTTAAAAACTCTAGAGACAGAGGGAATAAATCTATCTAATATGTCCAGTATCTTGCATCGAGCAGGAGCTAATGCTGCAAAAGCTTTTAAAGACTTATATGGTCTTTGGTTTGATGAGCAAGGAAATAAAAAACAATATTTAAAAACTCTAGAGAAAGAAGGAATAAATATATCTAATATGTCCAGTATTCTAGGTGGAGCAGGAACTAATGCTGCAAAAGCTTTTAAAGACTTATATGAACTTTGGTTTGATAAGCAAGGGAATAAAAAACATTATTTAGAGGCTCTAGAAGAAAAGGGGATAAATCTATCTCATATGTCCAGTGTTTTAAGTGGAGCCGGATCTAGTGCTGCAAAAGCTTTTAAAGACTTGTATGACTTTTGGTTTGATAAGCAAGGGAATAAAAAACAATGTTTAGAAGCTCTAGAAGAAAGGGGGATAAATCTATCTAATATGTCCAGTATTTTAAGTGGAGCAGGATCTAGTGCTGCAAAGGCTTTTAAAGACTTATATGACTTTTGGTTTGATAAACAAGGGAATAAAACGCAATATTTAAAAACTTTAGAAGAAAAAGGAATAAATCTATCTACTGTATCTAGTATTTTACATGGAGCAGGAACTAGTGCTTCTAAAGCTTTTAAAGATTTATACAACCTTTGGTTTGATAAAAAAGGAAATCGAACACAATATTTAAAAACTCTAGAGAAAGAAGGAATAAATATATCTAATATATCCAGTATTCTAGGTGGAGCAGGAACTAATGCTCCTAAAGCTTTTAAAGATTTATGTGATCTTTGGTTTGATGAGCAAGGAAATCAAAAGCAGTATTTAAAGCATTTTATTGAGAAAAAAGATGGGGAAAAAACTTTTACGATGTATAACTTATCCAGTATTTTAGGTGGAGCAGGAGCTAGTGCTAAAGATGCTTTTGAAAAATTGCATAGTGTTTGTTTTAACGACGAAGGAAAAAGAACACAACTTTTAGATGATTTCTATGGGGCAGGTTTTGAGCCAAGTAACTTATCCTGTATGTTATGTAAAGCAGGAGTTCATATTTCTTCCATCTCAAAAAGATTGCATAGCGTTTGTTTTAATGATGAAGGAAAAAGAACAAAACTTTTAGATGACTTCTATAAGGCAGGTTTTAGGACATGTGATTTGTGCAGTATATTAAGTGGAGCAGCGGATAGTTTAGAAAAATTTCATGATTTTTGTTTTATAGGAGAAACAAAAAAGTATTTAAACCATTTTTTAAATGACGAAAAAGGTTTTACGCTGAGCAATTTATGTAATATATTGCATGGAGTAAGAGCTAATATTTGTTCTGTTTTAAAAGATTTTCATGATGTTTGTTTTGATGAGGTAGGAAACAAAACGCAGCTTTTAGCTGATTTCCGTAAGGTGGGTTTTACGCCTAGTGATTTATCCAATATATTGTCCATGGCAGGAAATAATGCCACTTCTATTTTAAGAAATTTTCATAAAGTTTATTTTAATAAAGAAAATCACTTCTTAGCCAAGAAAGAACTTTTTACGCCAAAGGGTTTATCCAAGATATTACATGGAGTAGGACTTAATATTTGCCTTACCTTTGAAAAATTGCATGATCTTTGTTTTGATAAGGCAGGCAACAAAACAAAGTATTTAAACAATATTATCCAAAATAACCGGCATGAAATGTTTAATATATTATATAAAAAAGTCAGAAAAGCTCCTGCTTTCTTAGATGAACAGAATATTAGTGAAGGAGACAAAATAACCAATGTAGGCCTTGAGTCAACTAGTTCATCTGGTAGAACGGAGCAAGGACAAAATTTAGGTAACGCACAACAAAATGGTCCTAAAGTTAAAAAAAGAAAAAAAGAGAAAAACCAGGAAGGGTACCTTAAATCGGGGCGAAAACAGGCAAGAAATTACTGACGGAATAGATGATAACCCTGAAACTTAAAGTAAAGACTGCTATAAATCAACAACACACGTTGTCGTCAAGAAGAATGGAACACTGAGAATCACTGGTAATTACAAGCCATCACTCAACCCAAGAATCATCATCGATGAACATCCGATTCCGAAAACCGAACACCTGTTCAACCGAATGCCAGGCGCTTCTCTTTTCTACCACTTGGATGTTACAAACGCCTACACCCATCTCGAGGTCGATGAAGAGTTCAGCTATGCACTAACGCTTAATACTCCAACTCATGGTCTCATCCAGCCAAAACGAGCAGTGTATGGTGCAGCCAACATTCCTGCTATTTAGCAAAGACGAATGGAGACAGTGCTACAAGGGCTTGAAAATGTAAGTTTTTTCGATTATTTTATTTGCCGACAATTTTCATAAACTAATTCAAGCATTGAACTTAATCTTAGTCCGATTTAGGCAACATGGGCACAAGCTAAACCGAGATAAATGTACCTTTGCGGAGCATGTCTTAGAAGCTCTTGGTCACAAGATTGATGCATCCGGAATCCACAAATATGATATACATATCCGTACAATACGTGATGCACCCAAACCAGTAACTCCACAAGAACTACATCTGTTTCTTGGAAAAGCAACTTTTTATAATTCGTTTATTCCAGATCTATCTACAAGAGATAGACCACTGAGATATGCTACTTAAAGACCCATTCATCTGGACTCCAGAAGGCAACAAAGCTTACGAAGATATTAAGAACGCTCTAACTTCACTGCAAGTATTCATCCAGTATGTTCCAACCTTGCCTCTTCTGTTAGCCACCGACGCCAGCAAAACAAGTCTCGGTGCAGTGTTCTCTCATCGACTAAGCAACGGCCAATCGCTATGGGCGGTACAAAATTTCTTCAATTACTTGTACGCACGCCACTTCACGCTTATCACAAATCACCAGCCATTGACACAAATTCTGTATCCTGAGAAGTCACTACCGTGTATCGGTCACATGGCCAACTATGCTGACTATCTGGCACACTTTGACTACGACATTGTTTTCAAGACTTCTAAAGACAACGCTAACGCAGACTATTGTTCCAGAGCACCATTAACTTCTACAGTAAACATCATTGACAACTCTTCTTCGTCACAAAGGGAAGAAGCACAGGATTTCGACGATTTCGATTGTTTTGCTATACATCAAACTCAGCAACTACAAGTGAGAGCAGAAGCAATCACACGCGAAACGAGAAAATACCTACACCTTGGAAAAATCGTGAAAATTCTAGAAGATCCACAAGATTTAGTATACCACAACTTTAAAGCTCGCGAAGTTAAGTATACCCTAGCAGCCAACTGCTTGACGTTTGAACATAGAGTAGTGATTCCGCCTTTTCTACGAGACACCATCCCCAACGATCTTCATGTCGCTCAAATAGGCATAGGCAAAATGAAAGGATTGGCACGTTCCTTTGTTTTTTGGCCAGGCATAGACGCAGACATTGAGAGACTTGCTAAGTCTTGCGCCGCATGTGTAACATAAGCGTATGATCCACCCAAATTTCGTGACCACCACTGGGAGTACCCAAAGGCACCATGGGAACTTATTCATATTGACTACGCAGGTCCAGTAGCCAACACGATGTTGTTAATCGTTGTCGAGGCTTACAACAAATGGGTTGAAGTAAAACCTACCACCCTTACCACAGCAACTTCAACAATCGCTATTATGGACAACCTCTTCACAGCATATGGTACATCAATCACTCTTGTTTCAGACAACGGTAGACAAAACATTGCTGAAGAATTCAAGACTTTCCTGAAGAATAGTGGAGTGAAATACCACAAGCTATCAGCACCATACCATCCATCAACAAATGGACAAGCGGAACGGTATGCGCAAACAGTGAAAGACGCACTATATACAATAAAAACTACGAAATCGACACTACAGAGTAATCTTAACCAATTCCTTCGACAATATCGCAAAGCACCACATTCCATCACAAGACAGTCCCCAAGTCAATTGTTCTTAGGACGAGACCTTCGCACTCGCCCCAATCTAACGAGATCTGATGATATATCAACGAAAGTGTTAGAAAAACAACGAGCTGAAATGCGCTCCACCTTTCGCTCCTTGGAAGATGGACAAAGAGTGTATTTCTGATCTGGTAACCAGAAGATCGACAAATGGCTCCCTGGGACAATTTCTAAACGAATAAGTGATCTCCACTATGAAATCAACTATGAAGATAAACAAATAAGACGTCATATAGCCCAAATAAGAACTTTCAAGGACCAATACAGGTACTAACAAATGATTGTCAACGCCATATTCGATTTTATGAAGAACCACCAATTGCACCAGCTGCGAAAACACCAATTCGGGAATCATAACCTCCAGTGATACCAGAGAAGACCTCACACTCCAAGTATACCACGAAAATCAAATCGAGTAAATCGTCCACTATTGAGATATTCACCAAATTGAAAAGAGGGAGGAATGTTATATATTTATTGGAGTACATCCCTACCTGTGAAACCTGAAAAACTGTCAAGCTCATGTCATACGTTTAGTTTTGAATGACTTGTAATTTTGAATTTGCATTTTAAATAAAAGTAAGTTTTAGTGCACTTATATATCTATAAACCCCCCAAGAAACATAACAGTGGTGTCAGAAGCGGGATAGATACATAAACTCGTGAAAGTGTAACACAGGAACGAAATCTAAGAACTGCAACGTCAAACTGCAACTTCAAACCTCGTGCTCAAATACAGTTTCATCGCCACGTTGGTAAGTCTTCTGTTCATAAACGTTGTTCAACATGGCTCAAGTAATACTAGAATTACTCCAACAACTATCGGGATTAATTGCCAACGCCATATGACAGTCGCAAGCAAATACCTGGTCAAACAGAACCAACGTCATCAGCACAGTCTCGACCACCCCAATTCTCCATGCAAGCATATCGCGCTGGCGATTGAACTACAATCACAGAGTACTTTACACGGTTCACCTGGGCGCTCAATCTGAGTTACATCCCTGAAGAACAACATGCTCATTATGCACGTGTCTATATGGGTTCTGAGCTCAACGATGCCTTAAGATCCTTGGCAGTCCTGAAGATCCAAAATCTTTAACATATTTTTAAATTTAAACGAAACTTACTGTTCATTTCGATGCAACACGCAATAAGTTTGCTGAAAGTATCAAATTTCGAAGCACCGTGCAAAAACCAAGAGAATCGATTGCTAGTTTTACCTTAAGACTGCGACAAGCGGCAACCTATTGTGAATATGAAGCATTCCCCGACAGAACGTTGATCGAACAAATCGCAGGTCTAGAGTTAAGAGAAATGTGTGACGAAATCATCGCCAAGAAGCCAGAGAACTTCACCGCTGCATACGAAATCGTCTACGCACTCGAAGCCACTCGAAACACTTGACGAAGTAAAGACTGTTGCCACCAAACCAGATGCAACGAACCGGATTAGATACGAAAAACCTTCATCTCGAAAAAATTGTAATCAGCGACCAAACAGTTCATCAACACGCCGACACCAGAAATCGCCAAATCAAGCAAGGTATAACCAAACAAATCAGACATCCACAGACAATCAGCCAGTATGCTCAGGTTGTGGTGAAAATCACCCTCGAAGTCAGTGCAGATTCCTCAATGCAAACTGTCTCAAGTGTGTAAAGAAGGGACACATCAGCAAAGTATGTCGATCGAAGACAACACGGGGTACAAATAATGTCACGGAAGACAAACCAGCAGAAAACATTGCTGCCAAGAGATCAACTTTGAACGCCCCTTTGCAAAACCGGATCTAATTCATAAGCTTTCAGCCAAATAACCTTTGTCCTTGGAACATCAAAGGCAACTTGACATCATCCTCAACCTGCACTAAGACGTGTTCAGCAATGTCCCTGGAAAAATCTCAGGACCACCAGCGAAAATGTATTTGAAAAATGGCGCTACTCCTATCTTCGCCCGTGCTCGAGATATACCAGTTGCTCTCCGTGATGCGTACGCCAAGGAAATCGAGTCAAAAATTTCATCCGGCTTCTACGAAAGAGTCGATTATTCAGAGTGGACATCAACAACACACGTTGTCATCAAGAAAAATGGGAAACTAAGAATCACTGGTAATTACAAGCCAACACTCAACCCAAGGAACATCATCGATAAACATCCGATTCGGAAAATCGGACACCTGTTCAACCGACTGCCAGGCGCTTCTCTTTTCTGCCACTTGGATGTTACAGACGCCTACACCCATCTCGAGGTTGATGAAGAGTTCAGCCATGTACTAACGCTTAATACTCAAACTCATGGTCTCATCCGGCCAAAACGAGCAGTGTATGGTGCAGCCAACATTCCTGCTATCTGGCAAAGACGAATGGAGACAGTGCTGCGACTACAAGGACTTGAAAATGTAAGTTTTTTCGATGACATTATTGTATTTGCCGACAATTTTGGTAAACTGATTCAAGCATTGAACTTAATCTTAGACCGATTTAGGCAACATGGGCCCAAGCTAAACCGAGATAAATGTATCTTTACGGAACATGTCTCAGAAGCTCTTGTATTGTATTTTGTATTGTCTCGCAATCGCACGCGAAACCTATTAAGACCTACACCTTGGAAAAATCGTGAAAATTTGGAAGATGGACAGCATTTAGTATACCACAACTTTAAAGCTCCCGAAGTTAAGTATACTCTAGCAGCCAACTGCTTGATGTTTGAGCATAGAGTAGTGATTCCGCCTTCTCTACGAGAAGCCATCCTCGACGATCTTCATGTAGCTCAAATAGGCATAGGCAAAATGAAAGAATTGACACGTTCCTTTGTTTTTTGGCCAGGCATAGACGCAGACATTGAGAGACTTGCTAAGTCTTTCGCCGCATGTGCAACACAAGCGCATGAACCACCCATATTTCGTGACCACGATTTCGTTCCACCATGGGAACGTATTCATATTGACTACGCAGGTCCAGTAGCCGACACGATGGTGTTAATCGTTGTTGACGCTTACAGCAAATGGGTTGAAGTAAAACCTACCATCCTTACCACAGCAGCTTCAACAATCGCTATTATGGACAACCTCTTCACAGCATATGGTACACCAATCACTCTTGTTTCAGACAATGGATAATTCATTGCAGAAGAATTCAAGATTTTCCTGAAAAATAGTGAAGCGAAATACCAGAAACTATCAGCACCGTACGATCCATCAACAAATGGACAAGCGGAACGGTATGCGCAAACAGTGAAAGACGCACTATATACAATAACAACTACGAAATCGACACCTACAGAGTAATCTTAACCAATTCCTTCGACAATATCGCAAAACACCACATTCCACCACAAGACAGTCTCCAGCTCAATTGTTCTTAGGACGAGACCTTCGCACTCGCCTCAATCTAACGAGACTTGATGATACCGGTTACGAACTGATGATACAGTATAAATACCATGAAGAATGGGAAAACCGCTGGGATTGATGATATCTCTATGGAACAGATCAACAATTTCGAGACTGGAACCAAAGAATGGATATTTAGCTTTATTATAACATACTATATTATAGCTTTTCAACATATGTTGCGAAACCTTTCAAATTCCAAAACTGTGACGGAAGTAGTAGCTCTCCCTAAACCCGGAAAAGATCCAGAGTCTCCAAAAAGCTACCGACCCATATCCCTTCTTTTGCCATCTGTTTAAGCTCTACGAAAGACTAATCCTCTACAGAATAGAGAAGACCGTCGATTCAAAGCTGATTCCACACCTAGCAGGTTTGAGACCTGGAAAGTCCTGCACCAGTCAAATCCTCGCATTGACAGAATATATCGAGGAGGGTTTTGATAGTAAACAGATCACAGGGTTGGCCCTAGTCGACCTCAGTTCCGCCTATGTCGCGGTAAACCACAAGTTATTACTGCATAAAGCCAACGAGACCTTGAAAGATTACCACCTAGTCAAGATACTAGAATCCTTGCTCCAAAACAGGCAGTTTTCCGTGGCGCTCACGGGCAAAAAGAGTCGATGGCGATACCAGAAGAATGGACTGGCGCAAGGGGGCACCAATTCTGTGTTCTGTGCTGGCACCAATTCTTTTTAACATATACACAAATGACCAATCTATTCCAGATAACACTAGAACCTTTGCATATGCAGATGACCTAGCAATAACAGTTAAAGGCAAAGGTTCGAAGATATCGAGGAGAAACTAGAAACAAAAACAGTGTCAACTTATTACAAAAAGAATTCTTTAAAACCCAACCAAAACTAAAGTGAGTGTATTCCACCTGAATTCGAGACAGGCGAGCAGACTTAATGTCACATGGGATGGGACACCACTAGAACACACAGATATGCCTACCTATCTTGGCGTCGCGCGTCGTGCTGGACAGAACATTGACTTACAAATATCACTGCGAAAAAACACGTAAAAAAGTAGAAGCACGAAATTCCCTAATAAGGAAGCTGACCAATAGTAAATGGAGAACTAAACCTGTCGTGGTCAGCATCGCATCGTCAAACATCAATTCGTGAACCAGAACCTCCAATGATACCAGACCAGAGAATACACCTCACACTCGAAAGATACCACGAAGATCAAATCGAGTAATTCGTCCACCACTGAGATATTCACCAAATTGAAAAGAGGGAGGTATATTTATCGGAGTAAAAAAACGGCCAAGCTCATGTCATTAGTTTAGTTTTGAATGACTTATAATTTTGAAATTGTAAATAAAAGTAAGAGTTTTAGTGCACTTTATATATCTATAAACCCCCAAGAAACCTAACACCGTTTCCAAAAAATCCTATATGAGGTTTTCGCCACTGAAAAAAAAATCTACAAAATAAAATTGATATTTTTTGTAAACACTTCTGCGTTAAACCCAAACGGAAACTACTTGTCAGAAGTTAAGTTTACAGTTATACAAATTTACCTAACAAACAAAAAATGCTTAACGTTTCGGAAAGTTTATCTCTTTCCGTCGTCGGAAGCAAAAAAATACAAAGAATAAAGAAAAAACTATTTAAAATATTTAAATTCAAATATTCGAGAACACTTTAGTTTTTTTTAAACAGATACGTCTACAAAAACCGTTGACGTTCTGTTAAAATGACATTAGATCAAGTTAAACTTCAAAATTAACATTAAATACCTGATAACAATTACTTAATAAGGTAAAACTAAAAAGCCCCAAACTTTCTGTATGATTATTTTTAAATTTTACGTATGTTATGTTTATTTATGTTATGTTCATTAAAATCAAAGAAGCGATTGCCATACATTACTAACATCTACAGATGCATGAACAATACATTTATTTTTATTAGACTGCATTAAAAAAGCCTCTTTTATTTTTCTTTTAGAGGCTATCGCTTCTTTCATTATAATAATATCCCATGAATGCTGACAAATCATAGATTTGTGAAAATCTCCCTTTCCTCACCAATGTAAAATTTATCGCATTCACATGGTATTTGGTATATTATATTTTTTGTTTGTTCTGTATTCATTGGTTGATGATAAAACGGATCTAAGTGTATTTTGTGTTTTGAAAAAAACAAAACAAAATACACTAATAAAATAAAAAATAAACTAATGTGCCGGTAGATAAATCACTTAAAATAGATAGATCAGAACAAGATAAACATTTAATAGATAGAACAATATTAAACATAGATGTAAATTATGATTTTTTTCAACAAGATTTAGGTATGGCAATGGGATTACCGGGATCACCTCTCTCTCTTTTGTTAAGTAATATTTTTATGGAAGATTTTGAAAATAATACAATAAATAGTTTTTCAAAAAAGCCTATAATACGGCTGCGTTATGTTGATGATATTTTTGCAATATGGCAACATAACGTTTCTGAAATAGACATTTTTTTGGATTATATAAATTCTCGAGAACCTACTAACTTACTACTTTCTAAATTTACTTTAGAAATAGAGAGAGGTAATCGTTTGCCATTTCTTGATGTTTTAGTGTCAAAGTTTCAAAATAAACTAATTTTAGATGTTTACAAAAAACTCACAAACGCAGATAGATACTTAAATTTCACATCTAATCACAGTATAAGTGTAAAAAAAGTGTTATAAAAAGTTTATATGCCACATAAAAAAAAACTCGAAATAAACTCGACAATGTATATCCATCTCATTTGTTCTTTAAGAGGCATATGTGCAGAGGTTTGCTTCACGCTTTTCCTTGTCTGGCGTATTGTGAGACCCCGCACTAGCAGAACGCCGGCTTTCCTCGATATCTTAATGCTTGATAATAATGTAAATAGAATGAAAAGAAATGCCATAGGCAAAACCTTCAGTTGAAGAGAGGTAAAATATATGGAGTAGTTCGCGCGTAAAAAGATGGTATTGAGGCGAGCCTCTAAATGTAAATTTAAACCTTAAGTCGTTCGTTAAAAATATGTATCACCGTCATCGCTTTATCGGCCCGCAAGATTTTAGGCGACAAGCAGTTTAATGTCAATTAAAAGTTTTCTGTTGATATTTTGTCGATTTCGACCTCCTTGATAAGATAAATGTAATTTTATTAATTTGCCTTGGTCCAAGTCTAATAACAACCTTTAAAAAAAATAATATCATTAACTTGCAAAAGTTTTAAATAAGTACTCATTGGTTCCTCATCAAAAAATATGAAAAAAGTTCCTATAAACATAGGTATGGAAATGCATAGTTTTAGAGTTACAGGATGTTAAAAAAACTTTTTGAAATTAGTTTTTTTGTAATTATCTTAAATACTATTATTTTTATATTTGAAATTGCTGTAGGTTGGACTAATAGTAATAGTAACTAATAGTAAAAATATTTAATAATAAATTAGGTAAAATATAATATATTTAATTTATTATATATATATATATATATATATATATATATATATATATATATATATATATATATATATATATATATATATATATATATATATATATATATATATATATATATATATATATATATATATATATATATATATATATATAAATAATAAATATTTTCTTGCCTTTAGCTGTGTATTTTTTCTAATTTCGAAAAATCGAAAGTAGAGAAAAAATTAAAAAAAATAAAAAGTAAAAAGAAAATTGTTTTGCTTGTCGTAAAGGGAAACCAAGCTCCACTCCCACAACCGGTTTCTGGGCCTACCCTTCATCAGCTGTTCATTTCATATATATATATATATATATATATATATATATATATATATATATATATATATATATATATATATATATATTATATATATATATATATATATATATATATTTTTGCCTTTTTTAAATTATATTATAATTTATTAATTTTAATTTTATTAATGGTTATTAATAAAATTGCGTTTATATCATCAAGGAGGCCGAATTCGAGAAAATATCAAGAGATAACTTTTAATTGGCAGTAAACGGCCTACACAATTTTGATATTAAAAGAAAAAAGTCAGAGGCGCACATGTTTTTTTTTAAATATTCCAATGATAACCCATGTAGAATGAATGTAGAATGTTTAGGAGGGGCTCCACAGAGGCTAGCTCTCCATCCTCGAATGATAACCCATATGCACGTCCCAGATGAATTTTTCGACACTTTTTAAGCATTAAAATATGTAGCACTTATAATAGCTTTTACCCTCAAAATTTCATTCGAATCACTAAAAGTACTTTGGAAGAAAATTATAATAAATCGAAAAAATATTAAGACTTTAACACCCCGTAGCTACGAAACAAAGCAGAATCGGAGCTATGTTGATATGAAAAATAAATCTTATTTTTACGTGAGTAAATATAAGATTTCCGTATATCTCCCCACGAGAGATGGCACATATTTTTTGAAACACCCTGTAAAACGATAGACATTTTTCGTATTCCACTATTCTAAGTAGGTTACCCCATGAAGCAGAAACAATGCTACAATTTTTTTGTTTCGATTTGCTACAGGCAATGACTAAAGAATATAAGGACATGTAACGCCCCTATAAGGGCTGCAGCAGAATTTGTGACCTTTTTCTTTTGTTTTGGTGGCAAACAATAAGTCATCATTTGGTCACCAGCGACAATTTTAGCGATTTTTAATAGTTTGTGTGTAGTAAACTTTGTATAAACTTTATTACAATGGTGATTAGTTGTTCAGCTTTCAAGTGTAAAAGCAGCAGCGATAAGAAAGAGCCAGGAGTTACGTTTCATAGGTAAATAAACAGTCCACTCCAACTTTTTAGCGTATTCTTATTGAATTCGATAATTATTCTTCAATTTCAATTAACATCTATATGTACTTGATATGTGCTATACGTCGATACTAGTTTTGTACCTTTTGTTAACATTTTAATACGTTTTTTTCGTAACTAATTAGGATGATACACCATAGGCGTAGTCAAAACAATTATCAAAAAATATAAATATTGCTTCAAACAGCTAGGTTAAGAAAAATATGTGCCACGGCACTGATGGTGTCATCGTCACAATTTGCTCTCGGGTGTTATTTGTCCTTGGATTCTTTAGTCATTGGCTACAGGGATTTCCAGTGCTGTATAAAGGCCGATTCTCACCCAAGCGGCATCGAGCGAAGCGACGCGGCGCGGTGCGGCGCTTCAAAATGACGTTTCCAATTGTTTGCGTGTAATCAAATGATACCGTCCTCACCTAAGCAGAGCGGCACCAAGCGTATTGTCGCGGTCCGGCGCTGCGATTTTTCAACGCTCCCAGGAACGTTGGCTCGCGGCACGCGTGTCTAAACTCGCGCGTGATCGCCTGCTGACGACCAAGTGAGGATCACGAAGCGTCAAAAGCAAGCCACGCGACGACTTGAAGAGGTTATTTAAATTTTAAAAATTTGTGTTTGTAGTGTTTTGAAAAAGCACGGACGCGGAAAAAATTAATCGACTGATAGTATTCGTTTGTATTATTGTAGTATTGAGTACTTGTTTGTAATATTGCCGCTTTTTTTGCTCTTTTTCTGTTCATGTTCGTGACATATTGCAGCGACAAACAAAAAATCTTCTGATGATGAGGATGTTGAATCATCTAACGTGTGCGAAGTCATTGTCGTCCACCTACGTATACACTCAAATACAAACGAAAATTTACTGCTTCGGTTCTGCTGCTGCCAAATGCCGCTTAGGTGTGAATAGCCGATCCAAAATGACGCTACGCCTCGCTCGATTTCGCTTAAGATCCTCCTTTTGCTAGTAGTCCCAATATTACACCAACAGAGCATTGAGCTGCAATATGTAGCGGTGATATACCTAGATGATTTTGGCAATTGACGTCTGCACCCTTTGGTTCTAACGAGTGCGACACGAGCGATAGATAGGTTGTCTCCGTCGTAACGGTCGTTCCCTGACGACTCTGACGAGAAATGCAACACTGTCACTCGTTTCTCAGTACACCTGAACTCTCGGTATCATAGCTGGGTATTTTTGTTTTATTTTAATAAAGCTATAATTCAATTAAAAATATATCGTATTTAAACTTTTTTATATTTTATTAAGATTTAGGAGAGGTTTTTTAAATAAAAGTTCAGAAAAAAACGTCTTAGAGTCCAAAAACGATAAAAATAATAAAATACCTGGTATAGAAGAAATTTTAATAATCGAAATTACGTATTTAATTTTTTAAATTAATAGTAAATTATTAATTTTAGTCAAACATTTACAACCCTAATATTAATCAAAACAGGATCTATTCTATAGATACATATAATAGAATCGGCGACAGGGAAAGAGAAAAAAAATTATGATTGTTCTA